AAGCTCCATGTTTAGCAGTTTGAGGAACCTCCAAACAGTTTTCCATGGTGGTTGTACTAGTTTGCATTCCCACCAGCAGTGCAGGAGAGTTCCTTGGATTTATTTTTAATGCCAGGTTGTTTGAGATTTTTCTTATCGATACAAAGAAATCTATCTTGCCCTCACCTCATACTGAAACTATGCTCCTCAGACAATCGCCCTTTTCTCCCCTCCTCCTTCTCCACCCCCCCCCCCCATGGCCACCTCATCTTCTCCCTTCTGAAGATGTGAAGTTAACTGCTTAAGTTGCTTATCAGCAGAATCACACATCTATCCTTTGGTCTCACTGAGTGAGGTCTGTGCTTCATCCCTGAGGTGGCAGCAGGTGTCAGAGGTGTCAGATTTCATCCTTCAGGCTGAGTGATAATCCACTACACACACACACACACACACACACACACACACACACGCACGCACGCACGCACGCACCACTGGGCTTGTCCTTCGCTTTTGTGACAAACATGAGTTATTTCCCTCTTTATCTCATTCTTTCTGATTATCATCCTCAGAACAAAGCACTAAAGGTCAATTTGCCACTGCTCTTCTGATGGGGCCTTAAATCGCTTCCAGGTTTTCATCATTGGAAACGTTGCAAACAGGCTCTCTGTGCCCCAGCCTGTGCTCTCTGGGTAGAGACACTGAGAAGTTAGGGGTGGGCATAAGTGAAACTTTGGTAGATATCAAGAACTGTTCTCTAATGGAACTATTCCAATTCACATTCTACCTGCATTCTAGGAGAATAAGCCTTTACCTGTTCCAGTGGTTCTTAACCATGGGTGATTTTACCTTTGGTAAGGCCTGGAGATAATTTTGGTTTAAATTTAAATCAAATCTAACTTAAATAAACTATGTTCCCTTTTTGAGGGGGAAGGGGAAGGGGACTTCACTGGCATCTAATGGCAGGAGGCCAGGGATGGCAGCCCCCACAGCAAAGAGTGATCCAGCCAAAGTGTCCATAGAGCCAGAAACCCACCCTCACCTGTCGATGTCTGATAAAACGAGGCTTGTCATTTTCCTGATTTCTGTTCAGCTGGGCATCCCTTAAAATGCTTCCTGGCCTTATGGGGTTCCTCTTCTATGAAATGCCTGCTCACAGTCTGTTTTCTAATACTCAGTCTGTTTTCTTTTTCAGTAATCACAGCTCTTTGCACTAGTGCTTCTCAAATGGTCTTAAGTAAGAGACAAATCTATTTCTCTCTAGTTGATTATGGACCAATATTCTTCTAAAAGACAATAAAAAACAATATATAAGAAAAACGCTCAGGTGCTTGACTGATGCAACAATATCAAATGGTTAAAAAAGCTTTGAAGTACCATTCTTAATTTTCCTATAAATCTTGTTGCGTGAACTGGTAATATTTCTTTGGATATAGACACTTTGATGCTCCCATCATTAGATGAACACACAGTATATGTAAACAGATACTAATTTTTTCAATAAGTGTATTATCTTTTGACCTTCCTCAAGGCATATATTGCATGCAAATGTTTTATAATATATTGGTAATGTCAAACTAAGCATCTTTTTATGCCTTTTACTTTTTTGTATTTTGCTTAGGAAGATTTTTCCCTAATCCTGTATTTTCTTCTAGAGGATACCCTTATTTTTCTTCTAGAGGATACCCTTATTTTTCTTCCTTCCTCCCTGAACAGTTTAATGCATGGGTTGGCACTTTGGGGCTGCCAAATATGTTGACCCTGTATTTACTCCATCAGGAAGTCAGTTCTGGATATAGTGCAGGGTAGGCAGGCGCTTTGATATTAGTGTAGGAAACCTATGAAGGAAAAAAGCAAAAGAGCTACTACGGAAAATCCCTATGCTTTTTGGGGATCCATTAGCCAGAGGCATTTTGAGCCCTAGTCCTGTGTGACAAGCACTTTCCGAACCACAGGTCCTCCACTGTACTTAGACCCTCAGTTGCTGTGCCTTCCCAACACCTGTCTGTGCAATAAGGACATGACATTGAAGAAGTGACTGTAAATTGGTTTTCAGATCCAAACAAATATCCTAACATAGAAACATCACTTTCTTGCACAGTGTTTCATTAGAGATTTAGATTAAAAAAAAAAAAAAAGTCAGGGAAAGAACTTGACATGTAATGAAAATACTTTTTCCTTCATGAGAATATTTCTCTTCCCAGAACAACCAGTCAAATGAAGTGTCATATTTGCAACGACAAAGTCTGGAATTCTTTGTTGAGCAAGAAAATTTTCTTGAATAAGATAAACCCCTCCAGTGGAGGTTCTGAACTTAACCTCCCACTTAATTTGAAACTTTCCTCCTAAATCCCAGGTTATTCGCCCAGCTGCCATGCCAATACCATTTAAGAGAGAGAGAGGTTCTGGGAGACTTCAGGGTCAACAATGAGGAAAATGCTTTGTGCATAAGTGGATGAAGTAGTTTCTCAACAACAAATGGGTGGAAGCTAAGACACACAAAGTTTGGCTTTAGTAAAACAAAAGGGTAAAATTTATAAGGTATTATATACAATTTAAAAAAAACAAACCTTACGAGGGATTAGCACTGGAATTGGTTGGAATTGGTTTTATTTCTGGAAAGTTACTTTGAGGGACCTGGCCAAATTTTTATCTTTTAGCAGGAAATCAATCTAATAGTCGATTTTGAATAATTTATCCCTTCATTGCTATTAAAAAGAAAGCTTTATGTGCAAAGAGAGAGAGAAAAAAAAAACTTCCAAATTTATATATGCATTGGGTGAAGACGGACTGGAACTCCTGTGGTGAACTACTTTATGGTAAGTGGCCTGATTGGAGCTTGAAGTCTATCTATCATTTTAAGATAAATGAGACTTATTTATGCAGCGGATAGCAGTCTGATGGGAATCTTCTGCCCTGTGAGATGATATAATAACGATATGGGGTGATGGGAAGAACTGTAAATAGATCAATGATAACAGGACCAAAGGGGTCACTTTAGTCACCAAGGGAGGTGACTATGGCCTGTGCCTGATTATCTGAGGTGCTGAAATCAGGAGAAACTGCCTCTGCCTTTTCTATCTCTGTACCGATTGGCTGAGGAGTATCAACCACATAGAAGCACTGGGCCAGGTGGTGACACAGCAGGGCACACTTTTCGAATGGCAGGAAAAGCCAGAGGGGAGCAAGAGAGGGAGTGAGCGGCAGTGAGGAGACACTCACCACATAATCCACGACACCAGCACCATTGTTGCCTCGTTGAGGCTGTTGAAGAAGCGGATGAGCTCTTCTCCTTCGGAGCCCAGTTTCTTTAGGGCCACTCCCAACATCAAGGCAAAAAAAACCAGTCCTAAGATGTTCATTCCTTCGATCTCAGTTCCAAAGGGGAGCTGCAGGATCAGAGAGCACAGACAGACTGGGGTTACAACAGATGAGTGAGAACAGAGGTGCATTTCTGCCCCACCAGATGAAAACACCATCCAGGGTGAGAAAAGGTTCCTAGTTTGTTTAACCTTCAGTGATTTCACAAAGTATAGGAAGCTGAAGGAGAGATGGAGTTCAAGAATGTGAAAGTCAACAAACAAGAATTCATCTAGTTGCTAACTCAAAAGCTGTTCAAGTCTGGCACAGGTTGAATCATGAGGTAGTGAGCTCCCTGTCTCTGAGTATATTCTAGCAGAGGTTGGACAATCACGTCAAAGGGCTGCTTTTAAAAGACAAGCTGGTCAGTGAAAAGCTCCTTTAGATCAAGAGTTGACGGTGTTTCCTAAATGTGAACAAATTCTTTGTGGCTAGATAATATCATGGCTGACAGATTTCACAAAAGATTTTCAGGATCAACTTGAATATTTTTGGGATTTTTTTTAAATCGCTGGTTTAAACTGTATAGATAGACTATAGCCTTTATTGTTTCTGGCAACGCTAAATCTCACTACTGCAAGCATGCATTAGAGAAACATCTTTGTCCATCAAAACATGATGAAATTCTGGGCAGGAAAACATGTTAATATGGGGGAAAAAACCCATATTTTCACAGTACATCTGAGCTCAAGTCACAGCTCTGATATCAAATATCTGCTTGAGCTTCAGGTTATTCAGCCTTAGTATGAAGTGAATTCAACTAAATTAGTAGCTTTCAAGTTTTGAAAAATGGGACTTTTTTTCTTCAATCAAGGAGTGGTTAGTAGAACTCAGAGCCCCTCAGCCCTGGAGATGGAGTGGCGTAAGTGTGGGTGTGGAGGAAGGGTGACATACTTCCTTCCTCCTGGGGAAAGTTCTGTGGCTGGGCTGGAATGAACAAGCTGTGGGGTCCCTCACTCCTCCAGCTCTCTCAGGAAGGCTGGCATCCAGCCCATAATCTGACACAATAGGTACTCAAATAAACAAACAAACAAATAAACAAAAAGTGTGAATAAACAATATCTATGGAGAGGAAAGTCCCTAAAACCAGTTCTATGTGTTGGAGTCAGAATATTTATATTCTGAGGTAGCAGGAGGGGGTGTGATAATCTATTTCTAAAGAAAGGGGCTTTAGTTTCCATCAATGAATCTGCTGAAGATTACAGCGCTATAATACTCTAGCTTTGGGCTATGTTGGTAAATAACCAAGGGAGAAATTCTAACATGGGGGCTTCAAACAGTCCCCTCAAGCCCCAGAGATTTCAACCCTGCTGAGAAAAACACTGCTGCTTTGTAAGTATTTTTTACAAGTGATCATTTTAAAAACCTTACCTTTTCATGGGTTACGTTTCCAGAGCTCGTATTGTAGGTTACCATTGTACAGTTGGTTGCATACTGTGAAAAACCAGAGAAAGAAAAAACCACAGTCAGTTTTTGGGCGAAGACCGATTGAGAGGGGCTGAGGGAACTTCTGGGCCTCTGGCTGCCTTGTCATCATCCCCTGCAGATGTCCTGGGCTTTCCTCACTGGGTTGGCCTGACAAGACACTCTGAGGACTGTACAAAAGTTACATTAAGTCCAAGGCAGCATATACTCCCAGAAGCCTTTGGATTATTTCGAGAATTTCCTTATGTCCCTTGGGCAATGTCTTGGAGAAGGTCTGCACAATTTCCTGCTGAGATTTTGCTATTTCAAAGTGCTGAAATTTCTTATTACTTGGAGAAACATAGTATTATTTCCATAAGTACCAAAGTTCACTTTTCAGTTTTCTTTTCATTTTTCTTCTACCTCACATTACATACAAGCCGCATCTGTGCCTATATGATGATTTAAAAAAAGAGAAGTTGTAAGTAAAAACAGAAAAGTCTTTGCCTGAAAAGGCAATCAGATTAACCCATATAATCCAGAGCTTTCTATTCCTTCTCTGTGTAAAGCATGGCCATAGGGATATTACTTGTAGATTTCTAAAATTAAGGGGAAGCCACACAAACTGGATATCCATCAACAGTGGCCCAATAGAATTAGGGTGTGCTTAAAGGGTGGAGTACAGGCAAATGTTATACAGAAATGTATTCACCATCACAAGAAAATATTTACAATACAATGCCTTCAAAAAGAACAGGTTATAAGGCATTCTGCATAGTGAGTGTACATCCTACCAGTATGTGGCATGATTACTGCACACGTGCACCTGTGTGTAGAAAAAACACCTGAAGGACGCAGGCCAAATATCAGTGGGTAGCTCTAGGTAGTGATTATGGATAATTTAAATTTTTTCCCATTTTGCATATTATAATGTTTCTGTAATGAGCATGTATTACCTTCATAATCAGAAAAAAAAGGAGAGAAAAATGTATTTAAAAAAATTCTGAAGTATTTCAGAGATCACTAAAACATGATTTGGACATTTTTCTCAAATAATATGAAAAGGTGGTTAAAACCAGAGGGATCAGGATCTCCCTGGTGGTGCAATAGGTTAG